TTTATATAACTTAGAGACCTGAGATAACAGTAGGCAGCTAGTGATCAGATAGAGGATTCAGACTCTTAGCCATACCCTTGTGGTTAAAGCCCTCATGTTACCCGACTCCAGCACCACATCTGTATATCTATCTATGCCCAGTATTTGTCAGTCTGCCTAGTTCCAGTCAGGTGGGAGCTTTTAAAGGTTAGCAGATATATGTCACTCATCTTTGCATCCCCAGTGCTTAGCACTTATTTGCCACTCAACAAACATTACCTACTGAGAAACCCCTTGCTACATTTTATTGCTGCACTAATTCATCACTTCCACGTCAAAAGCCTCTGCAAGCCTCCTATCTGCCAGTGTATCAAGTCTAAATCCCTCTACCGAATTTCTAAATAAGATCATAATATATAATAAGTATATTTAATTTTTCAAAAATTTATTTTAAAAATTGCTGAATTTCATTCCTCTCAGGCAGAAATAGACCTTAACTTAGATCAACTAAATGGCAAGTGTGGCTGCTGAGTCACCTCAAATTCTAACCCATCAGCAGTGCTCTCTTTTATTGCCTTTGCTTTCTCCTAGTATAAACCTCTTGGCGCCCTTAAGTTTGTGTCATAATATATTCCTTAGTTTCAGACCAGCTTATACAGGTCAGGTTCCCATTTTATAGTTCCTCGTTGTTCCCATGGTTATAAAGTTGTGCAACAAAGCAAATGACATGACAACATGACTATTCACTAATGAATTGATAATTTATAAATATAATTTCTTAAGGATAGACTTCGAATGCATAAAAATGGTTATTCTGACAAGAGGTGAGGAGGAATGGGAGGAAAATGGCGAAGCTCTTTGCTCCTCCTCTTCCACAGGCAGCCACGTCTTCCTGTGCAGTGCTGGCCGCAGCCCTGAGACAGATAGTGAAGGTCAGAGTGAATGGATTTTTCTGTATTGGGTGCCTGGTCACCGAGGCTAAGCAAAGTGTTGCACCATCATGGTCACCATCAATAAATATTGTCACCATCAATGACCCCTTCATTGACCTCAACTACGTGTTCTACATGCTCCAGTATGATTCTATTCATGGCAAGTTGAAAGGCACAGTCAAGGCTGAGAACGGGAAGCTTGTCATCAACAGAAAGCCCATCTCCATCTTCCAGGAGCGAGATTCCATCACCATGAAATGGGGCGATGCTGGTGCTGAATATGTTGTGGAGCCCACTGGTGTCTTCAATACCTTGGAGAAGGCTGGGGTTCACATGAAGAGTGAAGCTCAGGGGGTCACCATCTCTGCCACTTCTGTGGATGTCCCCATGTTTGTGATGGGTGTGAACCATGCCAAGATGATAACTCCCTGAAGATTGTCAGCAATGCCTCCTGCACCACCAACTGCTTGGCCTCCCTGGCTAAGGGCATCCATGACAACTTTGGCATCATGGAGGGACTCATGACCACAGTCCACGCCATCACTGCCACCCAGAAGTCCGTGGATGGCCCCTCTGGGAAGCTGTGGCGTGATGGCCGAGGGGCCGCCCAGAACACCCTCCCTGCTTCTACTGGCACTGCCGAGGCTGTGGGCAAGGTCATCTCCGAGCTGAATGGGAAGCACGCTGGCATGGCCTTCCATGTCCCCACCCCCAATGTGTCAGTTATGGATCTGACCTGCCACCTGGCAAAAGCTACCAAATACAGTGACATCAAGAAGGTAGTGAAGCAGGCATCAGAGCGCCCCCTCAAGGGCATGCTGGGCTATAATGAAGACCAGGTGTCTCCTGCAAACTTAATGGTGACACCCACTCCTCCACCTTTGATGCTGGGGCTGGCATTGCCCTCAATGACCACTTTGTTAAGTTTACTTCCTGGTATGACAATGAATTTGACTATAGCAACAGGGTGGTGGACCTTAGGGTCCACATGGCCTCCAAGGAATAAGTGCCCCCTGGACCACCAGCCCCAAGGAGAAGAGAAGCCCTCAGCTGCTGGGGAGTCCTTGCCCCAAATCAGTCCCCCAACACAATGAGAATCTCCTGACCTCCGCATTTTCTACCCCAGACCCCCTGAAGAAGGGAGGCGCTTAAGGGAGCCCTACTTCGTCATGCACCATCAATAAAGTTCACTCTACCCAGAAGGGAAGGAGGGAGGGAGGGAGGGAGGGAGAGAGGGAGGGAAGGAAGGAAGGGAAGGAAGGAAGGAAGGAAGGAAGGAAGGAAGGAAGGAAGGAAGGAAGGAAGGAAGGAAGGAAGGAAGGAAGGAAGGAAGAAAATCGTGATTGAAAGGAACTTCAGCTTTGTCCATAATAGCATTTTGAAAGAAAAATGTATTTATGTTGAGGTAGATTATTTTCAAAGATGGCTACAACAATCTCCCCCATGCTGTTTTCCCGTTATCATGTGACTTGGCTGCTCCTCCCATGAAAATATGGGGTCTATGTTCTGTCCCCTTGAATCTGAGCTTGGTCTGTGACCTGCTTGAAACAACTGTATGTGGTGGAAATGACAAGAGGAGAGTTCCGACCTTACAAAATCCTGAAGCTTTTGCTTTCACTCCCTGGTCTCCCTGAGGCACAATGTAAAGAAGTTTGGCTTCCCTACCAGAGAGATCAGAAGGAGCATATCTGGAGGCTGAAAGACCAAGACAGATATCCCACATTCTAGTGGTGCCAACTGAAGAGCCAATCATGTGTTTAAGACCATCTTGGATTCCATTACAGCTGAGTGAGCACACCTGGCAGAGACGACCCATTCCAGCTGAGCCCTGCCTAGCCAATCACACAAACAGGAGTAAATAAAACTCACGATTGTTGTTGTTTTTCAGCCTCGGAGTTTCAGGCTGGTTTGTTACACAGCAATAGATGACTATTTATGAGACGCTACTTATGTTACTGAAAATTAATTTTTAAAAATAAGCCCACTTGCAAATCTTTCTTACTATTTAATAATTAGCCTGTGTCTTTTTCCTACATGGACCCCATGTCATTAAGGTCTCTACTCGTCTAAAGGATCATAAAATATCCAATGATGCAATGCAAAATCAGTGCAAATCACCATAAAATCGGGGCAAACTGATTAAAATTGCAAATCTTCCAAAATATGTAAAAAATCACATTACCTTCATCAAGTTGATGAAGGTAATGTTAGAAAAGCCCTTGAATCATGGGCAACTCCTCTGACAAATGAGAATCTGCAGCTGGAATAGTTAACATTTAAAGAAGAAAAAATCCACATAGATGATGGCACAATAACTGCTTCAAAAGGGAATGATGTGAATGTCAAAATTTAAGAAAGACTCTTGGGAAACTGATGAATCCTTCCAGTATTTTTGCAATAATGACCCTTTTTATGCTTTGCCCACAGAAGTCAAATGTAAAAGGATATTGTATCATGATACCATATAATTTTGTTAGAAAATTATGCTTCTCAGTCAGCACTTGATTCATCCTTTGTTCTAATATTTAACATATCATTGACCACCTAAAATGTGGTAAATGTAAGGTAAATTAATTTTAACAATTCTCTTACATTTTTAATGATAAATTTCCAAAAGTAAGAACACAAAAAGTGAAAAGATTCTTTCGCAAGAAGCAAAAAGTGAATCTTTTTACTTTTTGCGTTTCTACTTTTAAAATTTAAAAGATTCACTTTAAGTGGGTTTGGGGGGTTAACAATACCTAAGAAAATCACTGGTGGCCTCTGCAGATATCTTTAATTCACCTCCCTAACCAGCAGGTACACTCACTGAAGGCAGGGTCTTAGATCATGCTGTATTGGTATCTTCTGAATAGTTCATCATAGAACTGAATGGGTCATGGAAACTCATAAATTTGATAAATGTGACAACAAATGACCCACTGTTTGATTGGCTTACATGTAGATTTTGCCATTGAAGAATAGCACTTTTCCATCATCAACCCCTGATCCAATATGAGCTGGCATTTGTGCTTCTCAAAATTGTTCATAGAAGGCCTATTACAAACTTCCTGCTGAAAACACTTTCGAAGGCTGAATACATTTAAAACCAATTCAAGCATGTAAAGTCGTTTTAGGAAATAAGCCCCACATCCCAAGGGCTCAGCTTAGGAGGGCCACATTGGAGAACAGGTGTGCCACTTCACTGAACAGGAATTTGGAAATGTCAAACATTAGAAGCACTTCAGAAACTCCAACTCAACCTGCCTGACAGTCACAGCTCTGGGCACGTGTCAATAAATGCCTTGCAGAGATGGGCATCTGAGAAAAATCTCTCAGCAGGGATTAAAAATTAGTTAAAACAAGTAAGCATGATAATCGCTTAAAAAGACCAGACTTTATTTATTTACTGGGGGAGGTGGGGTTTCCTCCTTCAATTTCACTTCTCAAAAAGAAGTATGTATTTTTTTAAAGTGGTCATTCAAAAATTTTCCATCTATTACATGATAACAGTCCAAAACAATGTTACATGTTTTAACATCCCTGAAGTTCAGTTTCTTTGGGCTTATCTTGCATCCCCAATTCCAAGGGTAATAAGAAGAGCCGGGCAGTTCTCTTTGTCAGTATCAGGCTTACTTCCATTCCTTCAGAAATTAAAAACTAACAATACAAGCTTCCCTTCAAGTACCCTTTAAACTCGGCCCCTCCTCATAGGACACCAGGCTGTTCTGCAGCTCATCAGTCAGTTCTAGGGCAAATGCAAACAATACTTTCTATTAGAATAACTTGTATTCAGGAGTGGGGGGGTGGGTAGAGAAATGGGTGTTTTGTTGCATCTGTAGCATAGCAGCCAGAAAAGTTTACAGGCTTTAGCCAATTGGAGGCTGTGGAACTGGGCCAAGTTAGCATGTTTTTCTCCGCCCCTAGATGAAATCATGATTGAAATATGGCATTGAACTTATTTTTAAAAGGGAAGAGGAGTAGGAAAGAAAAGCTAAACCTGCAGGAAAGTGCTCTGTGCCGAGGAGGACGCGGTCAGGAAGTGTGTGCATACTTCTGAACCCTGAGTGGTTCCCAGTTCTGTAACCTTCGCCTCCCACTGGGTGGAGTAGGGCTTTTAAAAGCAGCTGGAATGCAGTTCCCCAGATCAGTGTAGCCAGTTGTTGCCTGTCTGAACCCCTGCCAGTCCTGGAGAGCGGTGCTCTGAGCTCAAACCAGCCCGCCTTGCTCTGCACTCCTCGACCCCGTCCTTATCACCGGAGCAAGAAGAGCACACGTTCCCACCTGTGCAGCCATGGAGGAGGACGCTGCCCAAGCCGAAAAGGCCCAGCACCCGAATTCTGACCTGCGGCAGGAGAAGCCGACCAGCCCCAGCCCGGTGCCCTCCTCCACGCCCAGCCCCAGTGTGAACCTGGGGAGCACGGAGGAGTCCATCCGAGACAACTCGCAGGTGAACGCCGTCACAGTGCTCACACTCCTGGACAAGCTGGTGAAGATGATGGATGCAGTGCAGGAGAACCAGCACAAAATGGAGCAGCGACAGATCAACCTGGAGGGCTCCGTGAAGGGCATCCAGAACGATCTCACCAAGCTCTCCAAGTACCAGGCCTCCACCAGTAACACGGTGAGCAAGCTGCTGGACAAGTCCCGCAAGGTCAGCGCTCACACGCGGGCCGTCAAGGAGCGCCTGGACAGCCAGTGCGCGCAGGTGAAGCGGCTGGAGAGCAACCACGCCCAGCTCCTCAGGCGCAACCATTTCAAAGTGCTCATCTTCCAGGTCAGTGACCCCTGCTCCTCCCACCCAGCTGGGACTCTGCAACGTTCGTGATCTCAGTTGACCTGGCTCTCACAACCATTTGTTCGTCTGTCCTGCCTGTCAGGGATAAAACACGCAGACATTGTCCCTGTCAGCTTTCAGCAGGCAAATGTGAAGTCTGCACACACGGGTGGGAATTTCTCAGGTCACTGTAGCCTAAACTCAAGGCCTATGTCCTAGAGGTTAGTAGGCCTGGCTCATTTGTCAGGGAGCACCTGGATGTACCCAGCCCAGGTTGGGAAGGTGAGCAGGTGCACACACCCTAGTCAAATTCATTTGTCTCTGTGCTTTATGAACGTGGGGCTCTTACTGCAGCTGTTAGCTGGACAGGACAAATTAATTCAGTGGCTGTTTATTAATTCTTTGTGCAGATGAGGTAATCATGTGAGGTTTTTGTTGGTTTCTTGTTTTCTAAATCAAAAAGTTAAACTCACAGCCGTTTTAAGTATCCCTTTGTCCAAAGATTACCAATGTTTTGGGGATGAACTAAGTATTGAAGGCTAATTCCATTAGAGTTGAACTAGCCTCTTCCTTTTAAGACTCTTTCGGCCAAAGCAATCTTGTTGAGGTCTTTTCTAGCAAGTGATGCATTAAAAATATAGAGCATAACTCTTTACGAACACACCAGATATGCTTCTCATTGCTCAGAGACCACACCTGCAAAGTAAAATAAAAGCAGTGTTATCAGTTATAGCTACAAAGGCTGGTCTTGAATATTTTCTGCTTCAGATGGTTACCTTAGAATAAAAAGGCCACTTAATTTCTTTTTAATGCATCAATGATGCAATTAATGTACCAAGAGGCTATCTGGGGACAGGGAGATTGCGTGGGGCTGTTGTTCTGCCAAGCGGTGGGCATTTGTGAATCCAAGGGCAGCCCTGCCTAATGCTGGAAGCCCTTCCGCCTCATGGAACGCCGCCAGCACAGAGCCCAGGAAGCAATTGCCGTCCGTCCCTGCCCCAGGGCTGTCTTGCTGTGACCATGTGAATAGGAGAGGATTTCAGAGCCATGGAGGGGAGAGGCTATAACCAACTGTTTGATTGTGAAAGGCACACAAGAAGAGCCTTCATTTCCCAAGAGAGATTTAGAAATTGGGATTTAAACCAAGGGAGCCTTCTTTCTCTAAATGAATCTGCTCAGCCAAGTTAGAACCTAAGCCTCCTTCCCCCGTAAAAGGAAAGACTCATCTGGCTGCTTTTTTGTCCTCCCCAAATTGCACTTGACTGCTGTAAAGCTTTAGGCAGCTGATGTCCTCCTATACCTTGCAGGCTTTTTGCAGCCCAGAAAATTTTTAGCTTTTAATGCAAATGGAGTAGCTTTTCATGTACCAGATGAACTGAAGAGATACGGTAACTATGCTTTTCCTAAGCCATATAAGATCCTTACTTTATTAGCCTAAAAGATATTAGAAATCTTAGCTCTCAAGGCATTTCTAAATTAAATACTGATCTCCAAACAAAACTAAACATGTACAGACCTGTTTAAATCTGTCATCAAAGGAAATTTCCCTTCTTCCAGTGTGCATCAAAGAGATTATCCCTGTCCTAGTCCTCAGTTAAGGAGGAAAAAAAAAAAACATACCAAGTATTTATCTAGTAGAGGAAAATCGCAATTTGTCTGGATCAGTTTATGTTTTGATTTGCTACATGTGTCCTGTAGATGTCGAGGGGGTGGATGGAGAAGATATGTGACGAAAAATGCAAAAGAATTATAAATCTGACATTTAAAAAAAGAATTGCTGGGGCACTTAAGACACACACTGCGCCTGGAGTCCTGCCATGGTCTCCAGTTCTGTCATGTTGGATTGACAGGTATGAAATTGCAGCCAGAAATGGAAGAAATTCTCCGGCTCAGTGAAAGAAAGGTGAAACGGGTGCCCAAGACCAAGGTGGAAAGGAAGCTAAGAGAAGCCAAGGCAATGCATTTAGGCTCCCTTCTGGGCCTCTTAGCAGCCAGCCCCCAAGCACACTTATTTTTTAAAAGAGCAGTTTAGGAGGCAAGGAATTGGACCTTTCTGAAGCTATGTAAGATCCTTTGTTAGCCTAAAGGATTTTAGAAATCTCAACTCTCATGGCGCTACATGATGGTTATTTTGAAGAAACAGATGCAAGTGCAGTTCCTCAGTGGAAAGGTTGCTCTTTCTCTTGATCTTGTTAAAGTGAGGGTTTATAGGGTAGTAATTATGCCAGTGGATAAAATAATAACTTGTGTTAGAGAGTGGTTTAGTATAGGAGTTGTGAAGATACATTTTGTCATCAGACCCTGGTTCAAATCCTAATTTCACCACTTGCCAACGGTGTGCACATTTTATAGCTTCTCCAAGCTTCTTTTTCCTCATCTGTACGCTGAGAGTATTAAAAAGAACAAAAAACTTTTATGCTCTTAATAAGCCCTGATTACTTTACTAAACATTTTTATGTGCAATATCTCATTTTCCCCCAATTTACAGATGAGGATGTGGAGATGTTTATATCTTGTCTAAAGTTATTTAGTAAGCAAGAGATGAAGCTGTGGTTTCAACTCACATTTAATTGATTCCAAAGAGCAAGTTCTTAAAACAGTTATGCTTCCTCCCTCATAGCTCTCTCCTAGGGTGAGGAATATTGTATTTTGCTGTGTGTAATCCATGTTTTTGTGCCTTATACATGGGATTATTATACCCATTCATATACCCATTGTAGGTAACCATTATACCCATGTATAATGTGCATCCCTATTTTGCCCTCAAAAATTAGGGCAAAAAAAGTACTCATTATAATGGCAAAATACAGTAAGTGAAATAACATATTTAAAATGGTTAGTGATTGGCATGGTGTAAGAACTCAAGGAATAGAAAGAAACTCTCCCTGGGTGGATTTGAAATGTTTTGCAGAGAGAGGAGGCTACACTTTTGCTTAGTTAGATATATGCCTTTTGAGTCAAAATGGACCCCACCCTCCCCAAGATCTTAAAACCGCTATGTTTATGATTTTTCATTTGGGACTTATTAAAACTTACACACACACACACACACCCACACACACTTACACACCCCCACTCCCTACCATATATTGTATGACAAGTACCATGTTGAAGTCAGTATTATGTCACCACCAATCCATGAAAGCAAAAGACACCACCCAAAGAGCCTTCCCTAAATAGACCCTTTTGGTAGCAGTACCGTCTTTACAGCGTAGCAGAGAGTTGATGTTCCTAGGCCTTCAGAGACTGAGAAGGGCAGATAATGTACCACATCTTTAAGTCATGTTTGTCACTTTCAGTCCACTTAAACATTAGGCTAGTATTTTCCCATACTCAATCTGCTGGTTTTCTAGCCTAAGACAAAGAAGTTAATGTGAAAATAAAAGGAGTGAGGAAAGAAAATCCGTCACCCAAATTGAGCATATTTAGTACTGTAGTGTTTAGAAGATTGTTTCTAATTTGTTAGGTCCTGTTATATCCTCCAAAATCTATAGGCACTAGATGGTTGGTTAGTTGGTTGGTTGAATCTAGATACTTTCATATTTGCATCTTCTAAAATTCCAAACTTTGTTCTTTATCCTGTTTAAATCATGACATTTATTTATTTAAATCTGCTGAATTTACATTGTTGTAGCTGTTAAGCCTCTCATACCTTAGCAATTACTTCAAATTATAACCAGTAGTACCTAAACCTGGAGAAAATTCTTTCCACCTTAAGCGATAAACTAAATTGTCAAATCCTTGTTAAACTTAGCAGCTTTCCTTTCTCCATTTTTTTATAATAACTTAAGATCAATGTTCAAATTTAAAATACTGTGACAGGAGCCCAGTGTAAATGAAATAGATTCAGAGGGGTTACTGATCCAAAAGCAAATGCTAAAGAGTAATAAGGCTAATTCTTTACCCGTAAGGATGGCTATTTTTACTAAAAATAGAATTTGTATGGAAAGCCAGTGAATTTACAGTTAAGAGGAACTTTTCTCTGTTGATTGAAGAGACTAGAATTTCATAGGTAACTGGCCCTGCCTGAGGGTGTGATGCCCTTATATTCTCTTAAGGTTCTAGTAATGATTGTTTGAAAAAGCAGTTTGAGAATGATTTCAAATCCAGAAAAGAAAATGAGAGTACTCATGGACAGCTTACACTTCCATCCATATAAAATTGTGAAATTGGGTGAAAAGAGTAGAGGTTAGATATTTGCTGTGGATACACTCATGGAGAATCAAGTCTTTAAATGTGTTCAAATATTCATCTTTTGGGTTCCTTCTATGAGATTGGAATTTTAGGAAGGTGCTAAAAGGGTAACATCTTCAGATTATTTTTTAAAATTGATTTTTTTAAAAAGACTGTACTTTCTCTATCCAAAGCCACTGCTCTGAAAACTGCTAAATTAATTCATACTACAAGAAATGAAGACATAGATAATAATAATTAAAAAAACCTTAATATGACAATTCACAATGTTTATATCACATTGATTAATGTTCCCATAATGGGTTATTGGTTTCAATATGCTGTTTATCCAGTGCCCTTCAGTTTATGAGATAAACAAAATACTAGTTCTTATTGTTATTATTTACACTTATTGAATGTCAGCATTCCCTCAGGCACTTTAAGTGAAGGTTATTGTTGGTGTTCCTTCAAAAGAATCATTCCTTTCCTCTCATATATTAAAAACCTAAACTCTCAGATGGAGCCTTTCTAAGTAAATGTTACCCCTTCTGTTGTTTTGTAATCTATATTTGTTTGACTTGAATGAAAAGTGTTCTCAAATGCAGCTCAGTACTCATAGTTTTGATTCTTGCATAAAACAAAACATGTTTGGTATTAGTATGCTATGGGATTGCTTCTGTAATTTGTTAACTATGTTTCATGGTATTTAGGTTAATATCACAGAATCAAATATTTTAGAGCTGGAAAGCACCTTAATAATCATTTAGTTTAACCTTATTTTTTATATGAGAGAAGAAGAGGCCTTGAGAAACAAAGTGACTAGCAAGGTTTCATTTTATTAACAATAGAAATTATGGAGTTGAATTGTGAAATGAGTAAAAACAAATACTATAATCCCACTAGGGCAAAGTTCATGTTTACTGGATTTTCTATATCAGCTTTTAAATAATTCAGTGTGATTTTGTTTTGTGAGGTTTTTTCCTTTCTTTTTTTTTTTTTTTTTTTTTTTTGGTGTATAACAAAGAACACCTAACCAGTGTGATCTTAAAAAAGAATTGAACCCTTGATAACACTGAAAAATAATGAAACTTTTAAATCCTCCAGAATGTGAAAGACTGCTCAGGGATTATAACTAATGCATTTTATTCTTATGACTTGCTGATTCCACCGACAGCTGCCTTAGGGGTGCCGTTCTAATCAATGGCTTTATCCACTTGGCAATCTATACCTCAGAAACACAAATCGGAGAAAGCCATCAATGTGTAAAAGAGACCCATAAATCAGAATGTCAGGTGGGCATAGTTCCATTTTAATAACTAGTATTTAGAGATTATTGGATAAAACATTTCATGAACATAAATTTATGGTCCTCATTCCCCTCCAAGAGGCCACCACATCCCTGTGGGAATATGACAGCTTTTGTTATTTTCTTCTAACAACAGGGGTAATAAGTTAGTGACAGGAGAGCAAACTGCTGGCTTGTCCCTCCTTATTCAAGCATTAGATGAGTTACTGTGGGCTAGACTAGTCTCCTTCTCTCTTAAAGAGCACGTATCTGAATATATGTGCAAACATTGGCTTCCAAGAGCTCCAACCCAAAAAGCACCCAGTATGTTGGCAAGTTTCTGTGTGTGTGTGTGTGTCTGTGTGTGTGTGTACACGCGCACACACACACACACACATACACACACACACACACAATACAATTGGAATTATTAGTTCAGTAGCATTAACATAACAGCAAACAAGCTAACATGGAAGGGGAAATGCCACTTCTCAAGAGTTTTTCCTATTCTTTTTCTCTTGCAAGTGTGTCATTCATATATGTTTGAAGAGTTCTGTTTAATTCTCCCTTCCTCTGAAAAATTCCTAAGGGACCTTGTGAAAGGTCAGAGCCAGGAGCAGCTGCATCAGTGGTGCCTGGGTATCTTTTTGAAAATAAATCTGTAGGGCAAATAGTCAGCTGCTGCTGGGGGCTTCTGCTGGGTAAAACTACCCCAGAAAACCGTGCAACCCACAAGGGATTATTAAAGCCATGGTAAGGAGTCGCCACCCCTAGTAGATACATGAGTGACATAAGTAAGCAGTGACAGAATTGAAGATGTGTATTTCATCCTTCCCCTTGGAAAAAGACAACAATCTTGGAATCTTCAGAGAAAGCAGATCAAAAACATTATGACAGGAGGCAGAAGTGTAACCTCACCTATAGGTAGGGGAGCTATCGAGCGTGCAGGTAGGGGAAAGTGTGTGTGCAGGTGAGCCTGGGCACCTGGGGAACTGTGCAATTACAGAGGATCCAGTCGAAGTTCAAGTTGAATTTCCAACCTCCTAACAGTCACTTCATAGTTGAATGTCATGCATACATTTTACTAAAGAGATTTTGAAGAGTGTCAGTATTTTTCTGCTTCTAAACAAGCATTATGGAGAGAGAAGACCTACATGTGCTTGGACATTACAAATTCCTGCATTAGAAAGGATGGGCTCACCTTCAGAGTGGATGCCACAGAAGTCACAAAATAAACACTATCCAGTAGACAGAGCAGAAAATGCTGCTTGAGTAATTAAAATGACAGCAGATGCATAGCAGTTAGCCAAGAAGACCTATCTCACTTGTTTCCAGTTGCATAAAGATATATCCAGATCATTCTGGATTATGTCTGTTCCTGCTGGGTTTATTTACATAGTTGGCATCAAAGAGCACTTGTATAAATTTCCCTGGCATTGTACTAAAGAGTTCAGTTGGATTTCCCACTATCCCTTAACTGCCCTCATATATGCAGTGTGTATATACCACAGATCACAGCTTACTCACACGACCACGCACTTACCACAAAACGTCCTCAAAGGATACATAATAAGAGAGATAGGAATCTAAGACTCAACAGTGACCATGCTTTTTTTAGTAATAAAATTTACACTGAAGAAAAAACTGTAAAATTATTAGTTTAATTATTTTAGAAGTAAAGTTAATAAGTCTACCTTTTGTTGATGTTGAAGAAAATAAAGTTATCAGGGTAATCCTTTGATTACCCTGAGAGATTATACTATGCAAATGCACATCTCTTGTAACCAAGACTTTTTCAGTTTCCCACCTGAATTTCTGCCCTTTTCATGGAGGACTTTTAGTAACACTTCACTGAGCTCTGGGTTTCTTCCTTCCCTATAAGCAACTTCTCTCAAACCACTCCAACCCTCTTGTCAAACCCGACAAGTAATTTTCCTTCTGGGTTATCAAAGCCCTAGCTATTTCTGCAGTGTGCCCTTCCTACCGCCACACTCACCCTCTGAGAATTAAATCCCTCCTTAGAAATGGAAACCATTGCACTCCTGATACCTTAGGTTCTGCTCCTTCCCAGGCGGCAGCAACAGTCAGCAAACTTCCTTGTAGACACAGAGCCAGGCCCACTCTTTTGCAGTCTTCAAGCCTGACCAATGGGGGTCAGTCTCCACTCAGCTCCCTTCAGGGCTGTCTTAGAAAGCCACCTTACCCCACACACTCATTCCACAAATAGCTATTGAGCTCCCAGGAGCTATTCTAGTCACTGGGGCGTAACAATGAACAAGAAACAAAAATTCCACCTTCATGGGGAGTATATGCCAATGAAACAGAGGCGAGCTGAGACTTGAAACATGGGAGCATTGTGCTCTGTGAAAGTCATGTCATCAATGACTTGTGGGAATGCCATCCCCCTTTAAATTTTTAGCTTTGTTTTGTATACAGCATTCCTCATAATTTTTGGCATTCATAACGGGAGGGTGTGGAGAGAGCTTTGGAAAATGTAATCTGTGATTTCTTCAGTCTACCCAAGGATTCTGTTTAACCAGGTGTTCTGCTTTTTACCTCTACCCAAGACTTTATCCTTTGTTTCTAACTGGTTTATTGAAGGGCTCTGGTAAGAGTACATATGTGTGTGTAAGGGGGAGACACAGGACTGTACTTTTTCAGAGAGTATTACAGTTACATCATTCAGTGGTAATAAGGAGAGGGATTTTTAAATTTCTCCATATCAAAACTTTATTCATTTAGTCTTTGTAGCAAAAAGTTTAAAAAATATACAGGCTCACTCTCAGAGCATGTTTTCCACGTATAACCCCAATTTTTCCATCAATTAAAATTGCAAAATGAGAAGGGAATTCTTACCATTCACATGAACTGTCCATGAAATTTAGATCCCAGATAGACTTTTACATTCACTAAATCTAGTTATTTTTCAAACTGGAAGTTTACTGGGCAGTCCACAATATAATCAGGTAACATCACAGCTGTGGTTGAAGGCCAGGTGTGGTATGAGCTCTGGAGCCCCGCCCGCCTTGGCCTTCTTGCAGAACGCCTCGTGTCAGTGGGAGTTCTGTTTGAGAGGGGCTAATCTAGGTCCTGTCCTCTTGTTCTTGTCTGGAGGAACCTGAGACCCAAGGAGATTCAGGTTTTTGCTGAAAGTCACACAGCCTTTGAGCAGTACGGCAAGGACCAGGACTCGAGCTTCCTGTCACATGTCCTTTCTACTGTGACGTTTCTTTCCACGGCAGTGTGAAAGCACCTTGCAGGCTGGCTCTCATTTTCCCATATTCCAAGAAAAATACGAAAAGCAAAGGGCTTTTTGTGCTGCATGATCCAAGTCTGTCTAAATTCAAATCTCCCCCCTTAGCAACACTGGAGAACCGTTTCCCTTGCATTCTGAGACATGGCAAGGGGCAGATCTTTGCCTGTGTGCCTAAATGCTGGGGAAAGAGGTGTGTGGGGAATAGTGAGTCGCAGGAGATCCTCGAGTTCTCTCCTCACTCCTAACTGTAGGTGGGGGCTGAATTAGTCTTGCCCCAGGAAGTCCTGTTTAACAAGAGAGACTTAATAAGCAGCACTTGGCCTCACACTTCTCCTTTACTACTCTAAAAATGGTAACTCCAGTATGCCACCTCCCCTTATTAATGCCCACAAAGGATACACTAAACCACAAGGCTTTGTGCGTAGGTCCCCAGTAAGGCTGGCCCCTGCTTCTCTTACTCTAAAATTATACCTTCAGAAAAATTAGTGTGTACTTTTGAACAGATACCAAGGTTGACCGTATCTTTAGGTCTGACTTCTGGTTGGGGAGGAAACCTGATCAAGGCTTTATATGGTATCTGACACTTGAGGACTTCCTGGTGTGCTCCCCTGCCCCCATCTCTTATCTTCCACCCTGACCTCCAGGCCCTTTGTCAGTGGGATATTGGCTGGAACGGAGCCGGGTGGGAGAAAGGTTCACAGTAACTTACTTTAGCCCCTTTATCTAGGCAGCTTCCTGGTCTATCTGAGCCACAGCCCACTTCCCCCTCTGCAAGTCACTGATAGAGCCCTTGCCAGAAACCCTCATAATCTTCTCCACAGGGAGCCTTTGGCCTTATCTAGCCTAGGGGGAAAGCCGTGACCAATTTAGAATTAACTCTTCAGGTTCTCGAAAACTGAGGCCACAAACATTTGGTTACTATCAAGCCCAAATACATACAATGATTACAGCAGTTCAGGAATTTGTGAAGTGTGTTATTAACATGAACTCTACCTTGTCCATCCCTTCAGGAAGAAAATGAGATCCCTGCCAGTGTGTTTGTGAAAGAGCCCGTTTCCAGCCCAGCGGAAGGGAAGGAGGAACTTGCTGATGAAAACAAGCCTCTGGAGGAAACCTTGCACACAGTGGACCTCTCATCGGATGATGATTTGCCCCATGATGGGGAGGCCCTGGAAGACAGTGCAGAGGAAGCTATGGAAGAAAGTAGAGCAGAGAAAATTAAAAGATCCGGCCTCCGGAAAGTGGATAGCCTCAAGAAAGCCTTTTCTCGCCAGAACATAGAGAAAAAGATGAACCAGCTGGGGACAAAAATTGTATCTGTAGAGAGGAGAGAGAAGATTAAGAAATCTCTCATTTCCAATCACCAGAAAATATCCTCAGGGAAAAGCTCCCCCTTCAAGGTCTCTCCCCTCACTTTTGGTCGAAAGAAAGTCCGAGACGGGGAAAACGCTGCAGAAAATGAAACCAAGTCAGAAGACATGCCTAGCAATGACCAGGTGCCGAATGACCACGAGGATAGCTCATTCGCAGAAGGCCTTTCCCAAGCATCCCTCACCAATGTCCTGGTGGAAGGGAAGGGGGCCGAGGGGGATGCTGGGAGGGCAGCCTCGAGGGGGAGTAACTCTGGCATGGACAGCAACGTGGACTTGACTATTGTGGAAGACGAAGAGGAGTCAGTGGCCCTGCACCAGGCACGGCAGGCGCGCTATGAGGGAGGCTACGCGCTAACCTCCAGAGGGGCAGAGCTGTCAGACGAGGAGCCATCGCAGCCACCTGTGCTCCAGGTGGACCAGACAGCCTAAATGGCACAGCCCTCTGGGCCCAGCCTGTGACTTCAGTTAGGTGGCACACCAGCACCTAGCACAAACTGCTGCCCATCTCCGGCACTACCCATCACTGCTGCGTCATTGTCCGGGCAGTAATCCTTTACGGTCAGCAGCCGCACACCTGTAACCGAGGTTTACTATGAAGGCTGCCTGTCAAGGGCTCCACTTCTAATTTGCTCTTAGGTTCTATTTCTGTAGAATTTTCCCAAGACTGCTCAGAAAAAAAATGGAGCAGTTGAAAAACACGGCTCAGTGTGGCTCAATCAGAAAAACCAGAGGCTATTTGAGATACTAGTCATGAAATATGATTAATTTTTTGTCATTCCATAAAGCTTGCTGAATATTGTACCAGTAATATATTGAAATTCCACAGAACTCTGTGAATCTAACTGTTATTTTTCAAGTGTGTGATATTCAATATACATGTGTATTTAAGCTAAAGGTGTAACTGCTTTCTATTTTAAAAAGAAAACACTTTAAAAAGGTAGATAAGAAAGTTCACTTAGTAGAAACCATTGTTTTATTGAAAATGAAGTAAAAGTTGAAAGATTATAATTTTTAGCTAATGAAGTAAGATATGTAGAAAATATAGACTATTAGAAAAAGAAAACTAAGAAAGAGATGTGGGAAAATAAGAGAAACAGGAAAGAAAGAATGCCAAAGAAAATGAAGACAGAGAAAAAATATATGCTTAAAAGTAGAATATTTACAATATTAGTTCAAGTATATCACTTTTTAGAAAAATACTGAAGTTCAGATGTCCTGGAATAATATTATATTTTCACAATAATTTTATATTCTAACACTTTCAAATAATATAAAAACATTTTACTTTGTTAAAGCTTCACTTTTTCTTAAAAAATAAAAGGCATTACAAATACTTAGGAAGCGCAAAAGGACGTTGTCTCTTTAACATTGGAATGAACATAAATCTTTAAAATTAATACATACTGCCTTTTCTAGGACTTTGGATCATACTATTCTTTAATATATTTTTCAAATTTGAAATAACTTTTACATTCCAAATATAATGTTGGTTTAAAAGATATTAAAATCAAAGATTTTGGAAGGGAAGCCTTCTGTTTTTCTTTTTTTTATACATAATGGTAATTTCAGTCCAGGTCATATTTATATGTTAACTTCACATAATTTTAACATGTTTCTTATTAAAACATGCTAGTATTTATATATATGTGCACATATATTTAGAGAGGGTAATTTTTACTACTGCATAACATACTAAAATATTGCTTTATTTTTAATTACAGAATACATATGTTTGGAAAAAACTATCAAACTATACTTTAAAGACAGGTAGCAGAGAGCAAATTCTTACCTTTAGTTTTTACCTCTCACTATAAGTAACCTTATTAATATAGCTAATCCAAGACAGTATTAGCAAACTGCTTTGTCTTATAAAAGAGAGAAGTTTAACAAATATGTTAATGGCATAACCTATTCAGCTATGTCCTTATTTTGCAATAATGTATCCCAAATATTAGATCACTGAACTAACAATGGCTGTGTTAAAAAAGACTAAATAAACCAAAAATAAAAAGTATATAAGAGTGTCACTTTTTTGGCAGAACAACTTTAGAAAAAGCAGAAAGAACTGATTTGTAAATTCTCCTCAAAATGTAGCTGTAATGGTAATTCTTTCAGTCTTGATTTCCCTTATTAACTCTGCTTTCTCTTTTCCCTGACCTCATTTAGAAATCTAAGTCTCATTCTTCAAGTTTAACTTTCTTGACATCACCTTGCCAGCTCTGGAAAGCATCTGGATTTATTGCTGCTGCTTGATGAATTTGATGTACCCATCTGCAATTGTACAGTTTGGTGCCAGACCTTATAATACCTTAGGTAGCCCTGTAAACATGAATGTATCGAACTGTACATTCAGTGGATTCACACAGATAAACCTTTGTCATACATTTGGTAGAAGACTTAATTTCACTCATGGCCCTAAGCATGCCTGTTTAACTTTTACAAAGTTGTTATTACTTCTTGCTGCCATGGAATTGGAGGGTCCAAGGCTAATGTAATGTATATGTTTCTTTTTCAAAAATGCTTACGTTGTGTAGTGAAAAACTACACTCAGGGATCTTTATAGGTTTTACTGACATGTATTTATTCTATGTTCCACACCTGAAGCATTAAAATCCTAAGCCATAAACAGAGAATTAGGCCAGGTAATTGGTGGAAAGCACATACTGTCGGGATTACAGAGAGGAGCAGTCGTGAAAATGGAAGCCATTTGTTCTGTGTTGTTGTTGAATTATTTGCATTCTGGTGAGAGGCTGCAAAGTCCCCACATTAGCTGTGTCTTCTCCCCACCCATCCAATAACCTGTTTCTAATTTTATGTGCCTGGAGCTCAAGGACTGGATTAGTTTTCCCCCAAAGATTGGTTATACATTAATAAGCACTGAGATCCATATCTTAGAAATATAATTCAGGAGTAAGAAGCTTCTATTACATGTATCACACATCTCACAGAAATACAGTAAAGATGTCACTTTTCTACAAGATTTTATTTTTAAAATATATAGGCATAAATATTTCAACAGGAATATTTTCCTCTTTCCACTTAGGAATCTAGTTTATGGCTGAATTTCTTTATATATGTGAAAATAAAACACCCACACTAAGGCCAGCTCTGCACAAAGTAAAGATTTTTCACATTTATTGCATGATGAAAGTCCAAAATGTTTCTGCTTTTGGCACTGTTCAACCAAAAGATCAAGGTTTGAACCTCATGCATTTCAGTCCACTATCAGGAAACTAGAAGCTCCTTTGACATAGCCAAGCTGCTGGTGTTAGTAAAGGTTATCCTGAAAGTCATTTCCTACATTAAGACACTAATGCCCAAGCTCAGTTAATTCTTGCTGGAAAGTTTGTTTACTGCCCTAGAGCCCAAGTCTAAGTGATTTTATATTGGAGATTGAGAGTATGAGGAATTGAGGGATAGGCAGCAATCACTATGAACAGTTCCATAGCAACCACCAGCCTTTTCCTAAACACCAAGGCTCTGACACTGCAAAGCAAGTTTCAGATGAAATTGGCATTGTGACCTTTGTATGCTGCTTGATCTCGTTCTTGAGATAAAGACTTCTGTAGCCAGGAACTCATTCCTAAAGGCAACAGGCAGTAATTCCCTTATTAAAGACACATTCTTCTTGTTTTTGTTTTAACCAGTGCACTGTCCTGAAGTATTTGAAACACTGAAATTATTTTTAATTCTCCACTCAAACTTCCCAATTATGAAGCCACACCTTTGGCAAAACAGCTTGATATTCATACATTTAGACTTTCCACTGTAAAATCAAGTCAATGAATATTTATTGAGCAATGTGATAACTTGCGCCTCCCATTTGCTAAAATTCTTAGTGCCCAAAGCAGTGAGGCACAAACATGGGAGAGAGGGAATCACTATTTTTGATAGTTTATGTTATAACCAGGCTGGGATCTCCAGTGGTCAGGTACTAGGTCCCTACTACATGCTAGACAAAAGTACTGACGTAATGAAACAAATCCTATTAAGAAGGTGCTATTTTCACACCCGAGACTTTGGAAGCTAATTTACTCCAACTAGTGAGATGGAGGAGGGAGGACACTCCAAAGTTCTTAACCAGTCTAAGTTCTCACTCATCATGTTATAATTTAACTCTTTTTCCTTTAAAGGTCACAGAGTTAAAAGACTTGCCCAGCTACTGAGGGTCAGAGTCAATGCTCAACCCCTGTCTGAAATCCATGCTCCTGCCAAAACAGACTCTTAATCATATCACCCAATTGTGTTTAGTGATGAATCACTTTATAAGCTCATAGATGGTACTGTATTAATTTCATTTTATTGCCCCTTATACAGCAAGCATCACATACAGCTACACTTCGCAAATAATTTTGACGATTGTCATAACAATGCTAAGAAAAAGCACCTCATGGTTCTTGGGGAGCCACAGAGAGACTATTACTCAGGTTTGCTGAGGCCACGGAGGGGCTCCGAGGTAAGTTCCTTGGCACCATCCACTGTCAGTAACTGCAGGTTTCACTTTGAGGAGTGGTTTAATAAGGCCGAGTCGTCAACAGAGATAGATACTGGGGTCAGCTAATTCAAAGATGGCACAAGAAGTCTGCCTCAAACTCTTTAAGTTAAAGGAGTCACATCCCTGTGTCATGCTAGAAAAATCACTGTATCCTTCCTGGACACATCCTCTCATAGGCTGAAAAAAATGAACAAAAGGCAAATCAACATGGGCGTGGGCAAGAAGAGTATTGAGGTTCAGAAAGTAGGGTGAACCTTGAGGATAGGGAGACCTTGCCTCCGATTATAATTCCTACAAAGTTGTCCAACTATCTTCTCAAGGGACAGGGGAGCTAAGTCAACCAAATGCTGGCGTCTGCATTTCTGTGGTCAAGCAACCAAAGAAGACCCTTTGGCCAACCTCTTTCGTCAGGATGTACACTGCAGGCAGGCCTCTCCCAAAGGCTTTGGCAGCCGTGGTCATAATCAAATGCCTAAAGGTGCTCAGTCGCAATGAGGAACATGGTTCGAGGAGGTGGCAGCAGTTGTGCCAAAGCTGCTGCATGTGGGCCGTGTCCTGTCTGATGGTGCAATCTTATCATTCATGTTGCCATGTCAGAAATCAGGCCCAGTGTTGCCAAATTTCAGCTTCTTTTAAGAAGGGCCAACATTGAGATTTCTTTTTACATGAAATCCTCCTTGCTTTTAATTTTTGGCAACTAGCCCAAATCATTTTAAATGCTATGCAAGCCAGTCTGCTCTCAGTGATAGCCCTGACACAGCCCATGGCTTCTGACTCCTGGTCTTTAGACATGAAATCTCTTGGTTCTCCTTCCCCACCCTGAGGCACAGATGCGAGACTAGAGGCTAGTAACAGGACTGGCTATGCCTTGAGAAAAAGCACAAAAAGCTTCTTTGGGGAATATAAAATTCAAAAGGACTCTTGCCAGAACTTATACGAAATTTTCTCTCTCCTCTTACTGAATTTGTAAGTCACTATTACAAGCACTGCTACTATTGCATTATTAATGCACTGAGCGGACAGTCACTGAACGTGAAAGGTGGTTAAGGTTTTCTAGTGGAAAAGCACCACTTGCTGTTATCAGCATTGTTAACTACCCGTGGGTTACCTGCAGAACGCTTTGAAGGCAAAGGGATTGGTATTTTTGGTAAACTGAGCATAGGATGAAACTATTCTGTTGCTATGTTCCAGCTGAAAAATATCTACTCTGTCAATAACTTAGAGGTCCTACAGATGACAAACAAGCAACTCTAAATTGTGCTCTGCCATATATCATAGCAAAATTGCCAGCCAACACTCCATTCTTCAACTCTTTATTGTTTGTAATGAGGTACTAAAGGGAAAAAACACAGTTCAATTTTTTGGGATGCTAAATTGAGCCTTCAGAGCTCAGAGTCAGGGGAAAAACTGTTACAGATTTAGTACAAGAGGCAAGATGTCCTTTGTTAAGGAGAAACATGTTTGCAACCACCTAAAGCTCTACAGAAGCACAGAGGTTAGCTGTGTTCTCCAAAGTCCACTATTAATTGTCCCCAGAATCTCAATGATATTCAGAAGACATTGTAAGTATGCCCTTATTTGAAAAATCAAATTTCCTAGGGACTTTAAATCAGTAATTTAAAATCCCTACATAGTAAAAGGAAGCCCTCCTTCTAGGATGGATGGAGAAAAGCAGTATCTTAGTTTCTAGGATTGCCCTTGAAATTAACCAGAGAAAGGGAGATTTGTGTACATTGGGTATAATTTCATAATAATTGTTAGCTGCCTCTCTTTTTTTCTTTCTACCATCACTTTTTTATTGTCAGAGACCAAAAATATCTTTCCCAACTACCTTGTAACTACACTTTTCAGAGATTAGGTCAAAGCAGGTAGGGGTGAATTATCCAATAACCACAGGAAGTTTTTGTCCGCCAGAAGTTTCTCCAATAAAGGTATTCCTTTGTTTTATGAACATCTATTACATTTATTGGGCATTGGTATATGCCAGACCCTGTGCTGGCTCTCTGCAGATGTGACAGAGGACTAAGAGAAGAGTGGTTGCCATCTGGAAACCATCTATTGAGGAAGGAGAAAATGCTAAGAACCCCCTACACAAAGGTTTTAAACTTATAGTGACAAAGCAAAAGGGAAGAAGTAATTTGAGAGAAAAATAAACCTTCAGCCTTAAGAAAATTGTTATTTGAGAAATAGTCACTCAAGATAGTTAATGGAGGTACTATAGCTGGGCTGTGTAACAATATCATAAATGTCCAGGGTAAAGATGGAAAGAGGCTAACCTGTGGAAGCTGTAGGTGCGTGCACTTAAAGAACACACAGGAGTAGAAATTTCTCTGCTCTAACGTACAAAACAAAATGGTGGAAGGGAGAATCTGAGTGGAAGAAAACCTGTAGTTTTTAAAATACAACATTGACAGTGAGTGCATTCATTTGTTTTAATTAACAAGGAAATATGGAGCACGTACTGTATGTCAAGACCTGCGAGAGGTGTTGGGCTCACTGGATAGACAGAAACAAAGCCAACAGA